TCGCATATACTTGCCCCTTGGGCAAGTTCATCTACCTTTGGACTCCCGACGTGAAAAGCGCTATATCAAATGCAAGGATTATTATTATTATTATTATCTACCTTGTGACCTCCTATAACTGTTGTCTGGCCACTACCTCAGTTCAGCTTTGTGTCTTCATTCCACCATTGGTGGGTGAACATTCAAGCATTCAGTCCCAGATAGTCCTTCTGCCTCTTAGTTTATTGTGAAACTTACAGCTTTGACTACCTGATTCCAAGTCCCGACTTGGGGCTTGAGCCCATAACCTTCTGACTCTGAGGCGAGAGTGCTACCACTGATCACATCGGTAAATCAGATGATCAAAAAAAGGATCAGATATGTTGCATCAATTTGCAATGGTACTATTTCACTTAAAAATATGAAGTTAGTACTGTACTTTGTTTCTATCTGGCATGATTTCTTGAGTTTTTTTGATATTCCAAAATTTATTCCAATTTTAAAGAATTTACCTGCTTTTATTTTGTCAAATCCTCCGCCTCTGATATTCCATTTTTGACAGAAAAAATAGGCCCCAAATAAACACAAAACTGGGATTTTATTTTGTGGATGAAAATGTATCTTAATGGTCCTTAAGAATGCAGTGCTGTTCAAATTGCACCCATCAGCTTTTTAGAGCACAATGACGGTCAATTATCCCGTTTGTAGTTTGAAATTCACTTGAGTTTTACTGTTCATTGCGAATCCAAATAATTGAAACGAAAAAACATTCAATGTAATAAAATTGGTCCCTGCCATCTGGTTTGAGTTGTAACCTAACTAATAGATGCGTACAATATAATGACACTCAAATTTAGAACAATGATGGCTCAACTTTGTATTCTCTCAACTTTTCAATAAATTGGTAGAGAACCACCTTAAAGCAAAAATAAAATAGAAAACATTTTAGGTTAGCATATCCGACAAAACAATAAAATGTTTGATGAATCCATAACTGTGAGGGAGTTGACATTTGTTACCACAACAAATTTCGTGAATATCACTGTAAACATTCTGTTGCATCTCCTATACAGAGTGGAGCACAGATACAGCTATTGTGCGATGGATCAAGCAAACTTAACACTTATTGTCATCTCAGGTTCAAGTTCCCTTTGTGTATGGTTGATGTCGCAATCTTGTCCTTTGATCTTCTTATCTTTGCTGCATCTTGGCAACTATTTGAATGAACAGTGTAGAATAAAGTATGTTGCATCAAAAGCAAGGTGACATTTTTAGGTAACTGGAATGACTGCTCTTTCATCCACTTTGCAGTCAAGCCATATGAGATTAAGGCAAATGGTTTGGGAGCCAAAACGGGTTTTGGTGCTAAGAACTGGCAAGTGCTCAGCATTATTGTCAAGACAAAGTTAGGAATTTGGGAGTTGTGTGTCTTGTCAATCACAGGGAAGAACCGATGTGCACTCGTGGAATTCAACAGGACTTGGGCCGATATACGACTTAGGAATTGTACGATTTATATAGATCAGTACAAGCATTCTTGAAATCCTGAAAAATTGGTAACTCGTGCCTTTGGTCACTATTTTTTGGTCAACAAGTGGCACGTGCCGAAAACCCATCAGTATCCAAACCAAGCTAAGCTTTCCATACATCCCACCTACACAGAGATAGATTATTGGAATGGATTGCGCTTTCTCTCTGGAGGGACGCATACTGTTTACCTAATTCCGGAAAGTATTAGGTGCAGGTGGCAAGAGCCAAGGATTGGAGACCCCAGGGTGTATGTTGGGATAACTGCTGAAGTCTAACCAGCTAAAATCGCATAGCTTGCCAGTGATATTGCTGTCCGGCGAGCTTTCCCGCTGCTTGTCCAGCTGGAACCACCCTACCCATTAGCACTTTGGCTTGCAGAGTTAACAGGAGCTGATTCGGATGACTCCCTGCCCCAGTGACTGGTTAACCCTTCCAGGTCCTGACGATGAGCCAGGCTAGCGGTGCACTCCCAATACTGTGGACCTGCCTGGCTCTGGAACTGGACACCCATTACCACCACAGAGGCCTGGCTCGATTCCGATATTCCGTTGCCAAGCAGGTCACCTTGGAGCCTGTTCTGCTACAAGGAGACCCCTCTTAGGACACTTTGGACAATATACGGTACCTTTCATTATTGCGTTTTGAATTTTTTTTCAAAATATCCAAACGTAACTCTACCGTGTTTTAGGTATAACTTAATTTCTCAAAGTGTACGGATTTTGAAGCTTGCTGCTTTCGTCAAAGCGCAATGATGTCTTGTTTTCCCTTTTCTGTTATTGGACTATTTTGTTATCAAATTAACTTGTGATTTCTGCCTGATGAGATTTGATTTGTTTATAATCAGGTTTACTTAATTTTGTTTAAAAAAAACCTTATTAATTTAAAATATTTAAAGCAGATTTTACACAATTTTAATAAAAATATTTGTTTTTAAAAATAGATAATTATTTGGGGAGGACAAGTTTGCAGGGCTATGGGGAGAGCGCGGGGGAGTGGGATTGATTTGGATAGCTCTTTTAAAAGAGCCGGAACGGACACAATGGCTGAATGGCCTCCTTCTGTGTTGTATAATTCTATGATTCTATGATAAAACAAACTTGTGAATGACTTAGACTTGTAAGACAATTTGGTCCTTGATTTATTCTGGTTGAGGATAAGTTTATTTCTGTCATCTACTGTAATTTAATCTGACTTGGCTTTTGAGGCAAATCCTGCAAAGAAATGTATCTCTACCAATTTTATCCTAATATTGATAAATATTTTATAATATCTGAAAACAAATTTGAACCAAATTATCTTGATGCAGAGTTAGTCCATCTAGTGAGGCGATCTAAGCATGATTTTCAAGCTTGCTGTTTATGTTGAAGAGCAATATCTGGTTGACTTTTTTCCTGTTATTGGACTTTATTTTGTTATCAAATTAACTGTTGTGATTTCTGCCTGGTGTCTAGAAGGTTTGTTATTAAGTATATTTCTTATTGTTCAACTATTTAGAAGCAATAATGATGCGTTTCAAAAACTAATTTGACTTAGGTGACCTCTAGCTTTGTTGTTTTCGATTAAATTTTCAAAAAAGATTGATTGTTCAGTGTTTTCTCACATAACAAAATGTGTGTTTGTGTTGTTAAAATGCTTCCAGAAATCGAGATTAGTCTGGTTGCCAAACCCTATATTATTATTGCATTTACCAAATATAGCAGTCATTGCAAAAATCATTTGAGGCTAACTAATGAGAATTAATTGATGTAAGCAACAAATAGAAAAATAAATTGTGCATACTAATAAAGGAAAGAAAATATGTTTTAATTGTATATAAAGTAAACTGAAGGACAAAGATCAAAATGTTCCTTAGAGGGTAGTAGTATTCTGTTGGATTGGGTAGTGATAGTGATTCTTCAGGAACCTCTTTTGGTTTGCGGGGCATGTGATGCATGTGGATTTTTTTTACCATGTTTAAGAGTATATCCAAAATAGATGGAGTTCCACATATGCATGTCAAACTATGCATGGAGATTTCCATGTATCCAGAATAGAATACACACTCCCTTTGCAGGATACCTATCCTTCTTAAACATTAGTCAAAGCCAAAATAGTGTGAGTTGTCACGATACAGCTTTTATGTACTTTACAGCTGCCTCCAGAACATTTTTGGCACATTCCCAAAAACAGTTTGCACTTCTGTCTACATTTGCTTTGTGTCCTTGGAGTATCTGAATAAGGGACAGTTTATAGAAAAAAACAATATTTTTTTTATCCCTGATCAACTTCTGATTTTATCAGAAGTTGTCGGTTCAAGCTCCATGTTCGGACTTTGAAATTGGTCTTGGCTAACACTCCAAGTCGGTTTGTGTACTTCCTGGGGAAGCACTGCATTGTTGGAGTACTGCCCTTTGGATAAGATGTTAAACCAAGCTAATATCTGCCTGCTCAGGTGGATGTTAAAGGTCCTCTGACACAATTAGGAAAGAGATGGGGGTTGATCCTGTTATTCTGGCCAACAAATAATAATAATAATACTCCTTGCATTTGATATAGCGCTTTTCACGTCGGGAGGACGTCCCAAAGCGCTTCACAGAACACACTGTAAAGTGAATTGACTGTATATTTGTGGGCGAACGCGGCAGCCAATTGCGCACAGCAATGTCCCACAAACAGTCATAGATTGAAAATGACCAATTTATTATTGTTTTTGGTTTTGGAGGGATTATTATTAGGCGTGTGGAGTAAGTAAACTTGTCCCAAGGTTTCGCCCTGCCTGGAATTGAACTCTGGTCTCTCGCTTGCTAAGCGAGTGCTCTAACCACTGAGCTACAGGACTCCACAGGACTCGCCAAATAACATTTGGCAAGGAATTGATTTCTTTAAATATTTCATTTTGTCTGAATGATCTGGAGTAGCAAATGTTATGCAAAAATAAAATGTTCTTGACGTTCAATTGATTTTTTTACAGTACAGATGTTGAATAATTTGAACATTAACTTAAGTAATTGTGAAATAATGCTGTGTATTTAATTGTTGGTGCTGATATTGTTCCAGTGGTGGTGTCTATTTAAGTTATGATTATGTAAAAAAGCTTAGTTTCATGAGATACCTGTTTATCACCTTTTCAGGTTTTGCTGAGAAATTATTGATTTGATTTTAAGAGTGAAAATGAAGAGTTGGTTTAACATATGGGTTTCATACCTTCAGGTTGCCAACTGCAAAGCTACAGAGATTTGAAAGCAGAAATAACTAATAAATTGATAAGCTGCAAATTTGGAATGATAAGACTGCATTGCATGTTATATTAAATGAGCCTGAATAGAAACATTTATTTGCTATTCACCCTTTTTTAATATAAAAAATCTTATCAGGAGACTATAATAAAACCAGATGAGCAACATTAAAGCTAATCTGTATGTGTTTCACGCTGCATTTTTTTGACAAATTGAATATTTATGTAATAACTTTTAATGCTGTATAATAACTTGTTTTTCTTCTTATTTCTGCAGCATTTAAATATTAAAACATTGACGGATGATGTGGTAAGGATACTTCATTTTTGTGACTAACTTCTTTTGACAGTAAAATGCTCAGCAATTAAAATGTAAAAAAGGAATTTGCATTTTTATAGAAAATAGTCACTACATTTTACAGTGAATTCTGAAGCAGTTTGGGATGTCCTCCTGATATGAAAGGCCCAAAATCAAATGCAAGGATAATATCATTATTACTACTTTATCACATGGAAATAGCTCACTTTACTTTGCAAGTAATTGCTATCATTATAGATGTTTTTGTAAGCAAGCACAACAACCAGTTAAGCCAGTGACACAAAGATCCTTAAGATAAATAACCAATTAATATGGATAATTGTTGGGCAGGACACTGAGCAAAACACCTTTCTCTTTTCAAATTGTATCATGATCCATTTAAATTCTGATTCTAAAGACTGCATCTCTGATGTTCCTGCACTCTCTTACTTGGTTCAGGGCAATTTTATGATGGATTACAGGAAATACATTATAATGCAGCTGCACTGTATTTCCTGTAATCCATCATAAATTTGATGAGAAGAGGCAAGTCGTCTGGAGAGCAGAGAGTTGGCATAATCTAGGCTGGACATGAAGAATGCACGGATTAGGGTCGCACAATAGCACAAATCTGATTATTACGTATGCATTGGCAGGCTTTTTAAGTGAAAATTGTTGACTTTCAAGTTATTAAATCATTATCGTCGACATCACTTTGCTAGGAAGTGACATTGTGCTGACCTGGATGTCAGCCAATTTTTCTTTCAGGGTGGGGAAACAACCATCGCATTCTATGCAATTCTGATGATTGCATGGGTACGCAGTCCAATTCTCCATGTTTTCATGAATAAAAATTGGGGATCCCAAACACCATGTTATAACTGGGCTGCATTTCACTTATTTGTTGTGGATAATTTACAGGTTAGCAGGGAATGTGTTAGAGATTGGGATATTGGACTCATTAAAGAAATAACTTGATGGTAACATAGAATGGTTGATGGTACTCTGGAAAAATAAACTCAATTGGCTGAAGGGTCTTCTTCCTGAAACTTTTTTGTGATATTACCTACAATGATATTCTCACAAATTGGGACAAATTTAATTCAGAAAATTGCATGATATTAAGTGTAATACAAAGCACAGTCATATCCAAAATCCACAGTATGGTTTGACCTGCTCAGCTTTCCCTCACCTCAGTAACGTTGCCTTCACTACACCTTTCCTGTCCGGCTGCTGCGACCCTAACCCGTGCATTCTTCACGTCCAGCCTAGATTATGCCAACTCTGCTCTCCAGACTACTTGCCTCTTCTCGTCACAGGCTGCAGACAATCCAGAAAGTTGCAGCTCGTATCCTCTCCCATGCTAGATTCCACGAGCCAATCACTCCTTGTCCAGCAATGCAAGCTTCCCATCCCCTATTGGATCAAGTTCAAGATCCCTGTTCTACCTCTAAATCCCTCCATGGTCTTGCCCCACTCTCCTTAAACCCAAAGCAACCTGCTCGCTCTCTCCACTCAATGGCCTACTTCACCCCTCCCCATTGCACTCCCCAATCATCCCCGGAATCAGGCTTTCAGGGTATCTGCCCCATGCTCTGAAATCTATCCCAGAGTTCTTGTCTTCTTCAAGATCCACGTAAAACTTTTCTCTTTAATCGTGTTTTCGGCCCTCTTTTCCCACCTATAGCTTGGCTGCAAACCCTGGACTGTTGAGCACCTTTGGGACGTCTTCCCGACTTAATAATCCTTGTATTTAATATAGTGATTTTCACGTCTTCAAATTGCTTCACAGAATATACTGTAAAATAAATTGACTGTATAAATTGACTCGCTTGCGAGGTGAGTGCTCTAGCCACTGAGCTACAGGACTTCTTTATCTACCGACTTGAAAGGTGATAGATAAAGAAATGTTATATTGTTTTGTACGTGTCTGATTTCTCACTAAATTGTTCTGTGGGTAAGACATTCAGGGAGTTGGTGGAAATGCTCAAGTGTGCAATTACAGATTCTTGGGATGGTGCAGTAAAGTATCACATGTTACCCAATGTGTGGATATGTGTCTGCATTGAATCAGTATACATTCAAGAGATGAGAGTAAATTGAATGTTATTATTGTGTCACAATTGGACCTAGATTACAGAAGTGGAGTGTTAAATTGATCTGATACTGGAAACGGAGTACTAGAAACTTTGTGGAAGTTAATGAAAATCTGTGCCCTTAAGAGAAAAATACTAAATAAGAAACAAGTGATTGACAATACGTTTCTAAATCTATATAGACTATCAGTGCCATGTTGAATAAAAATGTACTTCTTTCAGCTAAGATTCTGTAGAGCTTGAATTTATAGGCAGATAGGTGCAGTTTTTTTTTAAAAAAAGTTCATAATCCCCATCACCTTGCTTTAAAAGCAATGTCGCACTCTTTTGGGAGTGTTGATTTATTTAGCTTGCTAGTTAATGGATAAAAATCTGGATCATTGACATCACCGTTAACATCACTTTTTGTTTGCTGTGTATGCACTATGCGGGGAATAATGATTGAGGGTAGCCAACTATTTTAGGAACAACTGATCGGTTTGCCTTCTGGTTTAAATTTCCATTTTTAAGGTTTTGCATATCAAATATAGATGCAGTATTTATTTCACAGAGTATACTGTGAAGTGAATTGACTATATATTTTGTAGGTGAAACGTTGCAGCCAATTACATACAGCGCAGTGTCCCACAAACAGTCATGGATTGAGTGACCAAATTATTATTTAAAGAAATATTTGAAGGGATTGTTACCCCTGGGAAAAGCGATTTGCCAATTGCCTAAAAAATGGGTTCCTACTTACTGCTTGATGAACAGAGGCGAGTGGAGTAAGGAAACTTGCCCAACGGTTTGTCCTGCCCGGGAATCGAACGCAGGTTCTTTCGCTTACGAGGCGAGTGTTCTAACCACTAATCACCCAAGAGACACTCATAAAAACACACACGCATATAGAAGAGACACACTCATCTAGAGATACACACTCGGGGCCTCCGATTGTAGCCCATTTGCTGCTTGCGTCGTATCCAGAGTCGATCCGCTCACAGTGATGTCAAGTAAACGGTGTGAGCGGTCCACTGGCCAGAAACTACATTTATGACGGGTTTGTAGTGGACAGGCTCGTTGTAGCAGAAAATGAGGGCTGCACTTTTCTATTGGCCCAGGTAATATGTAATGTAGAAACATTTGATGTTTATCCAACTTGAAGCTTTTTGTAAACTGATTCCACTGCCATGATAATAGCTTGATGTGAGTAAATTCAATTTTTGTAAAAATTAAAGGACGAATTCATGTTCAGTCAAGTGATAAAAATTATGATCCCTTTTGTTTACTATTGGGGTGGGATGGCACTTTAAACAGAATGAATCTGTGGTGCCCCATTTCTAATACCAATTCCTGAATTAATTATTTCAGAAATGTTACAGTACATTGGTAGGAAGGATAGTCTGAAAATCCTGAAAGTATGGTGAAATATTCTTTACACATGTTGGATTATGGGAAATCTCTGCTTTAAGGGAAGAGACAGAATCTTCCCTTTTGAAGATAAATAGAAGTAGCAGAGTTTGCGAGGTCAGATAACAGAGTCCTAGCCCTTTTATCACTCATCATGAGTGCTTATTTTTCTTTCTACTTTCTATCACTGCCAACACTTTTCTCCCCCATGTTTTTCTGTCATTCAGAACACAGTACCAGGCCTTTTCTCATCCATATCTACCCACAGTACCATTCCTTCTTTATCTCTACTCCCCTACTTGTAAGGCAACAGCCCTTCTCTTTCTGTATTAAATATTGATCAGGTTTCTGGACACACAAATTAAAAACAATGAAGCTCTGGTTGAATTGTGCTCATGGTACAAATATAACATGCATATATGTTCGTATATAATTAAAGAATCTTGATGTGAATTACAGACATGTTATGATCTTATTCACTTATTCTAAATTAACGGATGAGCAAAACGTTTGTTTTTTTTAATGGGAGGGGATTCAGCTGGGTGGCTGACACACGTGGAAACCCATCACTATGCTTAGGAGTAACCAAACTGAGAATTCCATGCATCCAACCTGCACATGGAAATCCCAGAGATTGGTGGGAAAACGCACTCTCTCTGGAGGGATGAATCCTGCTTACTTAATTTTGGAAAGTATCAGGCAGTCACACGTTCGCAAGAGCCAAGGCTTGGGGATCACAGCATATGCATAAAGCTGCTTAGCTTGCTTTTGATAAGCTAAAAGAGTGTGAGTTGTCAGGATACCAGCACCGCCTTCTTCCACCTCCGACGCATCGCTCGTCTCTGCCAATACCTCACTCCAAAGCCGCTGAAACTCTGGTCCATGCCTTTGTCACCCCTCGGCTGGACTATTCAAATGCCCTCCTCGCCGGTCTCCCCTCCACGACCATCCATGAAATCCAGGACATCCAAAACTCTGCCGCTTTCATTCTTACCCGCACCACACTCCACTCCCCGATTACCCCAGTCCTTGCCGGACTGCACTGGCTGCCTATCACAGCTTCAAGATCCTCACCCTTGTCTTCAAATCCCTCCACTCCTTTGCACCCCCTATCTCTCTGACCTCCTTTCTACTCACAACAGTGCCCGTTGAAGAAACAACCATAGGCTTGAGAAGCACTTGAATTAGATTGGTGTGAAAGGTCCTCCCGACATGAAAGGCGCTTTACAAATGTAATTTTGCTTTTTGTTGTTGTTGTTCATTGTTTCCTGTACCCTTATTTCTTGTTTTACCTCCGCATAGGTGCACAAGCACTCTAAGGCTAATCAAATGTTGTTTGTTGTTATTGCTTTTCTCCTAGAGATCAGGTAGACTGATGTTCTTGCTCTGTTAAATGTCATCAGTTTCCTTGCAACTAGAAGGCAATGATAATGTTTTAGATTTGCGATGCATTTGAAAATCCCCCAAAATTGATGTAAAGTCTATTTCGCACCAATGCAGCTTCTGAAGTTGACAATAAGCGCATGTTAT